GGGCTTGTATGGAAACATGGACAGGTCTGGAGGATGTGCATGTCTCTGTTCCTTTATCTAGTTTTCGCTTAGGAATAAGTTTGCGGAGCTACGTCGACGGCTGCGCATTCCAAGCTTAAAATCATCAGACTTTCCAAATCGAGCACGTCCTGGAATGTGACTTCTTTGATGCGAAGACTGAAATCCGTTTCATCCAACATTTCATAGGAGGTAATCAATGTACATGTGCTTACTTCTGACTCAAATGCAGATAAGTTATGAACTGATTTTTTGATATTGTTTGCTTTATTGCTTCAGACGTTACGTCCTTTGTGACCAAAGTAGAATACCCTGCACCAAAGTCACCATCAAGAAGGGAAGACATGGGACGAGCTGATTGTATCCTGTTCGGTCCATCTGAATTTCTCGGTTATGGAGTTGTATGTCGAAGGTAGTAAAACCAAATATCTGAACTGTTCCATGTAGTCCGGAACAGCCAAACTCAGCATGTTCACACTGTAAAATGACTCGTCTGCTACGCGCCAGATATGCATAGAGAAGCTTAAAAACAAAAAATTCGATAAACCTATTAAGCGAAGTAAATAACAGTTAACTATATATGAAAAAGCGAGAAAAGGAACGAGTTTACAAAAAGATACGCCAAAATTTCCAGATTCGCGCTTGCGCGTCGAGGTCAGCAATTGAAATTACTAAATACTAGTCCGAAACGGAAAGCGTGAATAGGCGCGGATACCAGAAGGCAGGAAAGTCGGACACATCGTTGTACTCCTGATAGGCTAGATAAAGACCTGGGATAATAAAGAGAACAAAAGTGAACGTCAGCACGGTAACTCACCGAGCATGCAAATGCGAAGGGATATGGATAGATGGCAAAGTACAGTAAGACAACTCGCATATTTTACAATTTATGACAGCTAAATTATACATGAAAAATGAGAATTAGCTTTTGGGGTATTCCAAGCTTCAAATTGAGTCTGCTTGGTTTCTACGACTGAAGCGTAACGATGCTCATTCACAGTCGGATAAACCGGAAGAGATTCCGATCCGTCTGTATTGGAATAACTAGATTGCTACAAGCGCAGACTTCGCAACAACTCTTGGAAAATAATTGCACGATGAAACAGGGTAGTTATTTGCTCTGATTTTCTCCTCGTTCGATATACAGTCCTGAGAAACAGCGTGCAACCCACCAGCCGGTTTTGTGCAACGGCAGGGACATTTCGCACTAACCTGAAATGTTTCTTCAATATACAAAAGTGGCAGCCGTGCTGAACATCAAATTATCGCCCGATAACACTACTTCCAGTGATCTCCAAGGTTATAGAGTCCATTGTCGCTGAGGCTTTGACGGGGCACCTGGAGAACAACAAAGTTCTGGTTCAGGAGCAACATGGATTTCGCCAAAATCGCTCCTGTACCACTAATCTGTTGATTGCTCGTGCAAGCTGGACGGAATCTGTGGACGCTGCTGTAGGAGTCGACGCGGTCTACTTAGATTTCTCAAATTCATTCAACCGTCTAGACCATCGCATTCTTCTCCACAAACTCCAGAAATATGGAATCGGCGATCCTGTTCTGGGCTGGAAAGGAGACTTTCGCGTGCAACCTCACCTGAATATGAGGGTTAGAAGCAACCTGTCGGAATCCATCGAAGTTCAGTGCGGCGTACCTCAAGATTCGGTACTTGGACCCCGCCTATTCCTGGTTTTCATAAATGATCTCGCGAGCGTGCTATCCCCTAACTGTTTGCTATTTGCCGATGATCTAAACGTATGGCGCATTATAGCTGAAGTGGAGGATCACACAGTCTTACAGGAGGACCTGGATAAAGCGTACACATGGTCCATCGAGAACATGCTGTATTTCAATGTCACCAAGTGCAAAGTTCTCAGCATGCGGTACAAGAGTATGCACAACTACCGCCTAGGACCACAAGTTCTACAGCGGGCTTCTCACGAGTGCGATGTCGGCGTGATAGTTCAAGATGACTTCCGTTGTTTGAGGCAAACTGAAAAGGCAGCTAAGAAAGCAAACCAGTACCTCGGCCTTCTTCGCAGAGCTTTCGGAAAGTTTGACCCTTCAGTCTTTCCAGAAATGCTTAGTGCTTATGTGAGGCCGCACGCGGAATACGCTATCCAAGCATGGCAACCCTGGCTCAAGCACCATCTCACCGCGCTCGACCCTGCACAAATGAGGGCAACGAAGAACGTCAGAGGTGTGACCAGCCTCCCTTACCCACTCAGGCTGAAGACTCACAAAATATACAGTTGACTTTATCGGCGTCTAAGGGGCGATCTCATAATGGTGTAGCAGATCATGAGAAACCCCAACCACCCAGGCCATTCCCCTCCAATACCCAGTCAAAACACCCCATTAAGAGGTCACCAGTTTAAGCTGGTCACACAGTACAACCGACTGGAATGTCGGCGAAACGTTTTCTCCCTTCGAGTGTCACAGCCTTGCAACGCCCTTGCAGAATATGTAATTAATGCACCCACCCTATCCCTTTTCAAACAAGGTATTGACGGTACTCTGTCACATTTACACTACGTGCTTTAGCCCATGACCACCAGATGCTGGCCCTAATGCACAACAGACAGGGGATAGTGTCATAACCCTACTCGAGAACGTGTCACTCCAAACCCCTTGCACGAAATTTGACAAACGCTACTACCGTAGAAACTGGATTTTTGTGTCCCGTCAATCCAAGATGGTTGCACACAAGTAAGCTTTGTCCTTGCTATCTTTTTTATTTTTGGTCGCCTATTATGTGGTCAATAACCACTCCCCCTTATTGCTTTGTATGCATACATTCTCATTTCGAACTCACTTTATACGGCAGTGCAGTAAATCTGTAATCGCCCGAACTGAGGACTCCATTATCCCTTGATCAATCATTTTTCATGCTAAAATCCCTACGGGACATGTCAAGCACCTGCTTTTTTACCCGTTATAAGTCATTGTTCATTGTTCATTATTCAAACATAACACCATAATAGCCATACTTTCTTCATGGAAATTGATAAACAAGTTCGTCCAGGATGGACGAATATGTATACCTAGTGGGAAAAGCTATTTCACAAATACTGCAAAAACCAAAAATGCGCATTTCTGTATGTTTTAACAACACAGACCCTACTGAATTTGTGGTTCACTCCAGCAACTGAATGGCCATGACTGTACTAATGATCTACCCCTATCACTGGGACAGTATTTCGCACATCAGTGACATATAAATACCGCCATAATTACTACAACCATGGTTAGTAAAGAAACATCCTGGTTGTATTTCATCTTAAGTGTCTACGCCGAAGATGCTTATATAGCAAGCCAACGTGTTATTAAAACATGAAAAGTGGATGTCGTGCTTTTCATCCTGCAATGCATATGATGATAATCCCCTGAGATTTATGTACAACGCTTCTCGTGGCTAAGCTATCGTGGTTTTTGGTTGCATCTTATCCAAGCTCAAGCCAATGTTACAGGAAATGCACTAGGTTGGAGCTTGACGTCTAGAGACTTACCTCATGTTCACGTATCAGACCTTGAAGAAACTTTCACGCTTGTTACCATCTCCCGAAACAGCCGCAGTCCAAACCTGAACAACCACCAGTTTAAGTTGGCCACGCAGAATAATCTGTCGAAAACACCAGAATGTTTTCCTCTCCACAAGTGGGGTGTTCAACTTATATTATTTCTACGCGAAGATTTCCATATCTCACAACGGATGTATCTCAGTCAAAACAAGCTTCTTTGTGTGAGACGACCCGTGCTTTTATTAAAAGCCAATGTTCCGTCAATAAACAAAGTGTTGAACAGCTTTTCAAAGAAATTGAAGTAGGCAGATCTACTTTAAAGTGCATAGCATGTAGAGGTTACAGACATGCACTATGTTCTGTTGACAATGTTCCTTTTTGAAATTGCGACTCTTACGTGGATCGTCTAAACCCGTTATCCCTAAAGTCATTTGGTTTCGTAATACATTCCTTGCAAACATTTGTGTTTTGTTAGGGTCACCGCTCATATACTATATAGCACATGACTGCCTCTGCGGAAGTATTGCGTCAGATAACTTAGGATCCGCTTTCAATGTGTGCCGGATAACGTGAGTACCTCGGTACAGTAGATACCGCCTATATATATATATATATATATATATATATATATATATATATATATCCCATACATAGAACACTGGTAGATAACGGGTTTAAAGGCACGTTAAGCTTCAGGTTTTGCCAGTTGTCATTATAGCATTATACGGTGTAACCATTTACCGGAAAACATTAAATTCATGCGCGGATACCAGTACGCAAAATATATCCCAAGTTAGACACGGTTCATGCAGACAAGCAAGGGCGGTCCGATGTGGTAGTTGTGATTTGTGGGTGGTCACTATGGGAACTGAAATAACCGATTAGGTAGAGGGATTCCAAGTTGTCCGTATAGACAGCATGGCAGTTGAGACGACATTCCAAACAGTCTTGCGGCTGGCGTCATTTACTTCTGATAATTTCACTATGTTTGAACACCGGTTTGGATCCGGAACGTCCATGAAAAGTCGCCAATTGCTGATGCCATTCTTGCAATATTACATGTGTTTTAAACGTCTCAGGTCGCAACTTGACACCCTCCTCTTTCCCCATCCATTTTCTTAAAGCTTCATGCTTAATGGAGTGGTGATATCTCACTTAGCTTGGGTCATCCGGCTCATTTGGTGCCTTTTGCGGGAGTGTGTATCTGGGTACTGGACACTAATAGATCGAGATTTATAAGTGTTTGTGTTTAATTAATGTACCTATACGCTGCAACGCATGCCTATCGATAAATATTTTTTCTAAACACCGGTACCTCTTCGTCAATTCTCCGGTATTAAAGCGCGTATTATCGAAGGCATTGATATATTGATGGCAAGGCTACTTTTTACTTAAAACTTAGTTGCTTATCTTTAATAACATAAACTTTATCCATCCCCTACCTTTGCTCACATTTGGCTGCAGTGGTGCCGACCTTCTGGCAACCAACGTTGATGGTAGCATCCCATACGATATTGCAGAGGACGAAGAAACGTCTTGGTTTCTGCATACACAGTTCAAAATTCGAGGTAAGATCAGTTGGACTTGGACATGTCCGAGCTGGCAATTTGAATGCACTTAACTACCATCGGAAGAGGGCGATACTATTCACAAAGTAAGGTGTTCTCTAATTGCACTGGGTATTTTTAGGTGGATTAAATAATATTTCTCGTGTTGAGTTTAGACGGGTTTACCATGTGACAATGACATGAGTAGGGTTAAGTAGCGATCCGGTTACTACCAATTATTTTCCCGTAATATATTAGGTTTGACCACGCTGAAGTCAACTACTGAAAATCCACTTTACAATTGAAAGCCCCACTCTAGTGTTAGCATCAGGGGAAAGGGGCAGAGTTTTCAGAGGAGTATCAAACTCAGTGATTCTAGCACGGAATTAGTTACGGCTCAGTCAGTGATCTACGCGTCCGATGCACAGGTGGTCCTCGATCTTCCGCATGTGGTGCAGATGTTTGGATAGAGTGGACCATCACCCAAGTGAACGTGATTCCCACCCACCTAGCTCACGGTATGAGGGTGGAGATGATGACGCTCAAACCAAAGATGGCCATTCTGTAGATACAAGTGTCCTGTGGCGGTTGCCTTCCCAGGGGTACAGCAATCTTAAGGATACTGCCGACAGGCAAAAATGTAGTCCCATCGAATGCGTTTTGGCCCGTCTAACTAATAAGGTCATGGTTTAAAACATTGAAGGTTAGCTTTATAAACTGCTGGGGTGGAATTTCGACTGATTTTGACCTGTCAAAAACACAGAGAATAGGTTGCTAAATTAGCGGCAGTTAGTGGCAAGCGATCTGTCGTTACGTAAAAATCAACATTTTACTGATGTTGAGGCGAAATCTGTGTCGGTATTTAAGTGATTTCTTGACGCCCACCTTGCGGATTACAGGTATAGGGAGCGCATCACACCCAGATAAGATGTAATGCAATTATGGAATGCTGCCATCCCGCAGAGTCAGCGACCTGATTCCGTACAGGTGCCCAAACTACTTACGACTGAACGACACAGATCTTTATCTTCTCGTTCTCTATTCTCAGCATTCAGTATATATTTATAATAAAGCTCACTGCTGCAATTTTGCGGTATGAAATTTTGAGTTAAGCGCGCTGTAATGTAAGACACGTCGATCATGATCAACTCAAGTGTTGGTAATCAGTATTTACAAAAGAAAAAAGCATTATAAAGCAAAAATACTTCTGACCTTCTTTTGCTTTCACTGATAGTCAGGTTATTTGAACTGCATCATACAAATTACGAAGATTTTGCTCAATAGATTTATCAGTCGCTAATATAGGACCAAAAAGCAAACTGTTCTGGTGTCAAGGTATGTTTCGGATGTGTTTATGTGTGGTGGGTCGATTCATCAGTGGTTTCGCACGGTTTGTCGCGCAAATAGTTGGCAAGATAAAAATATGTGATATGTGATGGAAAACGTAGAGGGTCAACTGTGTGCAGTATTGAATAGTGTATCATAGGAGAAAGAAGAAATGCACATCGGCATAACCCCATCGAAATCCAAACAAAAACCTTGAAAAACATAATCATTCTATGACCTGTCAACAGTCTGAACGATTTCAAACTCCAAGTGATTTTATAAAAAGTGTGTAACTCCCAGTAATTTTGGACACATAAATCTTACATACCGTTGTCAGAGGGTTCAAAATGACTTGATGCACTGGTAGCTCGGGTTGATCGTTCTTGAGCTCAAAGCGTGTCGCGAAGCTGGCGAGAAAGGTTTATGTTTGGTGGGATTTCGGGTGGTGAGCCGACGGTCCACTTCCGCTCTACCAGAGCCCATTCTGGTAGCACACGACCCAGGGATCTCCATACCAAACGTTTTCACATAGTTCTCAGTAATGTGCGTAGCCTGCGAAACAAGATGTGTGAAGTAGGGGGGCTTAATAAACCACTCCCATTCTGATGTACTCGCGTTCACTGAAACCTGGTTATTTTCTGACGTTATTGACAGTGAATTATACGTTCCGGGCTACGCAATACTAAGATCTGACCGCCCATCTGATCGCTGCGGTGGTGGTGTCGCCTTGTATATCAGATGTGGTGTAAACATATCCAAAACACATGTCTTTAACTCAGCTGATAAAACTGCTGAAGCCCTTGCAGTTGAAGTCTGTACCGAACCAATGCAATCTAAAATGGTGCTGCTGTATAGCAGCCCTGATAGCGCTTCTAGGAGTTTCATTGAGTTCATCCGCACTCACTCTGCGAGCAGATGCTTGATAATGGGGGACTTCAACTTCCCTGAAGTAAATTGGCATGACATATCTTACGAGGCAGCGATAACAGGGTTGGCTGCCGAGCTTGTTGAATTGACACTGGAAGCACCCTTACACCAATTTGTCGATCGACCCACCAGGTACATGGCGGGGCATGCTCCTTCTGTTGGACCTAATTTTCGCAAAGTCGGTTGACTTTGTGAGTGACCTTGAGTACGGCCCCCCTTTGGGAGCCAGTGACCATACGTGTTTGTCATTCACTTGTGCTCTCATTAGAGACTACGATGCACGCAGGGTCCGGACTCCGAACATGTGGCACGCCGACTTTCCGTCTATTAGAGCCAAGGCAGAAAGTTTCCCATGCACCATCTTGCCAGATGATGATATTCAGGCGGCTTGGGATACGTTTAAGTCTTTCCTCTTTAACATATCCCACCCCACATCCCTCTTTCGGTAAAGAAGGGTACCAAAGCGAAGCCACCATGGTTGGACTCAGTCGCACACCAGTTAATGAATAGACGGGCAAGGTGCTGGTGGATCTACCGAACAGTTCTCTCAGAATGTACTTTTCGGCGTTATCGGGAAGCTCGGAATGCTTGCAAGAGTCATTTACGAGCTGCTAGACTTAGCCTTGAGATGGAGCTGGCTAAGTCAGCCTCCGCGAATCCCAAAAGACTCTTCGCTTACATCAAAAGGCGTAGTAACGTTAGGCTCATCTATCCTAGTGTTATTAGGCAGCGACGGCGCCACGGCCACCACTGCTCATGAAAAAGCATGTCTACTCAGTGCGCAGTATGCCGGAACTTTTGTTCGGGATGAGCAATTGCCGCCTCTTGACCTAGCAATGAGAGTCCCACAGGACCCCTGTTTAACACATGTTACTATTTCGGAGGCAAAAGTTCTCCATCTTCTTCAGGCTCTAAGTCCTGCTAGATCCTCTGGGATGGGTGATATTCACCCTAAGCTTCTGTACGAGCTCGCAAGCGAGCTATGTGGCCCAGTGACGCGTTTGTTTCAATTGTCGTTTCGCAGCTGCTCCTTTCCCAAGTACTGGAAGGATGCTATCGTTTGCCCGCTTTTTAAAAAGGGCAACAAGCTTCTCCCTGCCAATTATAGATCGGTAAGTTTGACAAGCGTAGTGGTCAAGGTATTGGAGAAGTTGGTCAGTGATGTGGTTGAAGACCACCTGCGGGAGTATGGTCTGCTCAGTCCACTGCAACACGGCTTTCGCAAGGGTCATTGCTGTCTGACTAATATGCTAGTTGCACGCGAATTTTGGGCGGATGCTTTGGATCGGGGTCATGCAGTATAGTGTTTATTGACTTCTCCAAGACGTTCTACACTGTATCACATTCTCGCCTTTCCTTGAAACTTCGGTCCTATGGAATATCCGGGGTGCACTAAAATGGATCACCACGTTTCTGGAAGGGAGAGATGTGTGTTCGTGTGGGGTCTAGTCTGTCCTTCCGACAGTCAGTCCTCAGTGGAGCCCCTCAGCGTTCGGTGCTTTGCCCGTTGTTATTTTCCTTGTATGTCAACGAGCTGCCCGAACTGCTGGAAGTACCAACTCTCATGTTTGCAGATGGTCTAAAGCTTTGGCACATAGTGTCTGACTTCGATGGACCCCAGACTCTGCAATGGGCTGTCGATAAACTTTGGGACTGGGCTGCTCTGTTGCAGTTGCCCATAAATTATGCAAAATGTTCCATCTTACTAGTAGGGCCAAATAGCCCCCCCCCCAAACTCGTTATTTGCTTGACGGTAACGAACTACACCATGTTACCCAATTGGTAGACCTAGGGGTCACATTGTCTTCAGAACTTAAATCCTGTGAAAACTGGAGGAAAGCTACTTGCAAGGGTTTCAGAATGTTGCGGCTGATTCGCAGGGCATTCGGGACCATCACAGGCGCTATATTTGTTAGGTTATTCTCAGCGTTTGTCAGGCCACACTTGGAATACTGCATCCAGGCTTGTCCACCTTGTTTAGTCAGGGACAGAATGTCAGTGGAGAGAGTGTTGAGAGTTGGAAGCAAACTGGTCCATGGACTGCGGAACCATTCTTACCCAGAAAGATTACTTGCGCTGGGAATGTTCTTGATGCACTATCGTCAACATCGAGGCGACCTAGTCTTGACCTATCGTATACTTACCGGTAAACTCGGACCCGATTTATCCGGGCTTTTCCAACCGGCTCGGCTTCCATCGCTCCGAGGTCACTCGCTAAAGCTACACAAACCTTGATCGGATGGAGTCCGAGCGGACTTTCGTTTATCACGCCGAGTGGTGGATTCCTGGAATGCACTGCCCGAGAACGTGGTATTGGCGCCAACAGTGAAAGAGTTCGAACACCGACTCGACGCTCTTGGTCTTCAATTCCTAACATTCTCCTTCACGTCCTAGCTTATTCGTCTTATTGCATTATTAAATTTATTTCGTTTCTTTTTCTTGAGACTCTTATTACTTTCGTACTTTCTTATTTCACGTGACCGGTGCGGCGGGGACTGTCAGTGCAGGTCACGTGGGTATTACTTGGTTGACCGTGGTGTGATTCGCGCGCGCTTATCTGGCTCTTCTGGATTCCAGTTATCGCGGAGGAATAATACCCTGGATCAACGACGCGTCACGGAAGGAACATTCACGGGGATTTATCCTACTGTTCCGGTCCCACTTGAATTTGAACTTGTTCTCCGAGCTTCGGAATTTGGATGCAAGCGTTTCACGACCAAGCGACGTGACTTCCTCAGTGCGCTGCGTGCGAACTCGCTTTCATAGAATTGAAACACATTGCAGCGCACTTGAGACAACGCGAAAAGAACAGATATCTGTTCAGCTTATTTCATCTAAATGGATATCCACATAGCTTCATCCGACTATGTCTAAACAACCAAGTTACGACTCCCTAGCCTGCTCAGATGACAACAAAGAGTCGTTCTACTCTATGTAAAGAACATCTCCGAGAGGACAGCAAGATTAATCAGACAGCACGGACTTACAGTGGCCCAGAAACCAACTGCTACATTAAGGAGAACTCTGTTGAACCCTAAAGCTAGACCCTGAACACACGAAAGACGAAATGTTGTTTGCACGATACCATCTCAAGATTGTGATAAAAACTATGTGGGTCAAACAGGAAGACGACTGTCAACAAAAAAACAAGAGCGTAAGATAGCTTGTAAAAACCATTAAGCTCTCTCATTGATTTCAACACATACAGACGTAGAACGATATCACTTCGATTGGAAAAACACAGGTCCTAGCAAAAGCAGAGACACGAAAAAGAAAAGAGTTACTCAAAGCATAGTACTCGACGCAGCAGTCGATAAACATGCACATGGAGCTTGATCCAGTGTACTAAACGTTAAGGCGGAGGGAACTAAAACACCTTAAACAAAGAAACCGTCGTGGTCAGCTAAACGAGCCATCAACAACACATCAACAACAGCCGGGGCAACACCATCCCACGGATCGCCCGTATCTATCACACTTGGGTGGATCGGTGAAGGTCACAGGGCACAGATCGGGGCCGGTTCAAAAGACACTTGCTGATCGATCACAAACTGACGAACAAGTTATCGGATTAGATTGGACCCAGCAGCGCACTGAGGAAGTCACCTCGCTTGATGACGAAACGTTTGCAGCCCAATTCCGAAGCTCGGCGAACAAATGAACTCAGGAATTGTCTGTAGGTAACTGGTCTCAGAATTCGACGCTGGAGAAATGTACATCCGACGATATGTTGAACTGCTGCATCGTGTTTACTTTCACGATACGCTCAGACAACCTGTTCCAAACACTGACCACTTGCTGTTCAAATCAGAGAGGATGAGAAACTTACTTCAGATCTGGAAACACAGATTTTTCTCTTGTTGTTCGCGTGTTCGCAGATGGAACAGTGGCTTCAAGACGGGGAAGGGCGCCTAGACATAGAATGTAATAGGTCAGCTATTGTCGACTCGCACCTAACCATAGGTCAGGGTGTATAGTTTACTCCACTCGCACCTGTTTTCGTCTTGAAACGCCCGTAAACTGGGAATGAGCCCGAAAGTAACTAAGCCAGTACTTGTAGATCCGCAGTTGATGAGACACGCGTTTTAACTATTGGTGTTGATCTAAGTATAGATTCCGCTCAGATACTCTGCTGGTCCCGGATACTGGACGTTTCCATGGCTAGTTACATTTAGTTAAGTGTGCGCGCGTGGGGTTCGAATGACTTGCCAGTGTCCTTATTGCCACCTCGATAACGATTGATATACCTGCACGAATTATAGGTATGAGCTAATTTCAACAGAGCGCTCCAACTCGAAAATATAATGCTGTGCTGAAGCGAGGTATATTTAAATGAAGAATGTGTGGTCAGATAGGCTGATGTGAACAAGCGCGTTGATAGGTCACGCTTTTGACATCTAACTTGTGAAAGGAAGATAGTTTAGAAATCTACCGCATGGTTAACAAGCCACCTGTGACAACTGATGAGCAGTGGGGATTGTGGTGAAATTTAAAATGCAGCTCGTCGCAGACCGCTCTCAGCTACACAGGTTTCGACACGTCTGGAAAAGCAGCAGACAGCAGGTTTGCCCTTCTAAGTCTCGTCAGAGGTGCGCTTTTCTCGGCCCACTGCCGCCTTCCGATCCGTTGACTTCCGGTTGCCAGCAACTGGTGCTACTAGCCATGGGTGACGGTGGTGGATTTGCATGCGTGACAATTGATTACGATGTAGCCCGTCTCATCTTCCACTGCCATACCATTTACGAACTGTGCAGTGGAGAGTGGTTGGCCCCAGAGCTACGACTTTCCGTACAGCGACTTTGCATGGACACAGCGCTTAGAAGCTATACAGACGGATTTTTGATTATTGACATTTGGGCACTTGCTTGACTGAGAGAGGAATGAGACGAACTACAGCTCTGCGACTGAGACATCGTTCCATGAATAGACCATTTTCACAAATACCACCGTTGAAAGATTATGTTAATGACCACAACTAGGATGCGAATATATATACATGTTGTGAACAAATATCTGTCGAATTTCTACCTATAACATTCAACTCCTCCTCCTACTCTTCTGTGAACAAATATTCATTGCATCTAGACTCAGTAAGACAATGATTACACGTCCGGATGTTGTGTGGAGGAAATACCACTGATGCGTCGTACTGAGATTGTTTGTCACGGAATAGTAGTATGAAATCCCATTGTATAATAAAAAGTCGATGCAAGCAAACATGTTTTCAATAATTCCTATTCAGGCTTGTAGAATTTTATGTGGGAAAAAAGACAAAATGTTTGACACAACGTAAAGATTGCTAAGACAAATTCAGTTCACAATCACTGATGAAGCACAATCACTATCCGGTAGGTCACAAATGCGGCTTACACTCCGTTTCTTTAGCCGGATGTCGCAGTTTGGGTGGGCCAAGACAGTTTTAGCGTCCGAACGAACCGTTTTTGAACACACAACACCGGCTCATACAATCAAATCGCGATGGCATCCGCGGATTCAAGCGAAGGCTTACGAATGCACTTTGATCGATTGTCTGGTACCTGATAGATCACTTTGAATGACTCAGCCAAGTTGGTGGCTTGACCAGTGTCGGCGAGATGCGTGGCTATGGATGAGTTGGTTTGCTTTCGATAAGCGGTCATGAGCCAAGCCGGATGGTGTTCTTTCATCCTTTCAGACAGGCGCCTCGTCGTTCGGCCTATGTACCCTGCTCCGCAGGGACAGAAAGAATAAATACACATTGATTTGGCGTGGGCGGGCCTCTTGTTTTTGGAGCTAGTTCTAACCAATGGGTTAACGGTGAACTGGATTTGCATTTTAGCTGCTGGGAAAGTGTGTCTGAGGGCTTGAAAAAGGCGACGAGTTTTGATTTAAGCAGCAATTCCCCCCCCCCGTATGGTAGTTGGAAAAATATGTTTTCTCTAGACTGTAAGGTTTCCGGGAGCCTTCTTTCTTTGTCTCATGTTGGCTTTCAGGAAACTGTCAGGGTAACCATTTTCTCTCAGCGTCGAACGTATGTGCTTCAGTTCCTCGGGAAACGTTTCCTTTGAGCAAATTCTTTCCGCTCGACGCATTAGACTGAGTATCAAGTCCCATTTTTATTTCAGTGGGATGAAATTGTGGAAATTCAGGTATTGTCACGGAATCACCGAAACGCATCTAGACATTCAGAGAAGCCAACATTGTTCGGTACTTTGTTGGGTGTCACGCTTTACTAGATAGTGACTGCTTATGAAAGACATCCGTTAATTGCTTTGCGTTAGGTAACTTCCTAAAAAGGAACAACGGAAGAGTTTTTGTTTTATGTCCGAAGCACAGAGTGGTTTCCACTTTCATGGAATCTGACGGCTCAATAACAACCTCGTGATATATATATATATATATATATATATATATATATATATATCAGCAGTCCACGGATAGACATGAAGCGAGGAAAGGCTAAGGAAATCAAAGTACGGATCAGTATTCATTCCGAGGAAAAGAAATACAAAACAGGGTAGTCAAAGATTTTGTCAGAAGGCGCTATACTACCTGGTTGCCCAAGGCGAAGTAGGGAGTTGTCTTATGAATAAATAGCAAACCTACCAATCAGCAGAGCGAAGTCAGGGAATCGCGCCCATTGGGCGACAGTGACCCATTGCTCAGTTAATACACCTTTCACTTGCTTGGTTGTCCAACAGGGACCAAATCCACTCTATGAAAGTAACAGCGGGTAGCCGGAACACGGTGCACCGTCGGAGTGAAGCAAGGGGCAGTGATTTTATTTAGTAGCAAGTCACAATGATCACGTTCCAATGTTGTTAAGCAGACAAATGTGGCTTTCTAAAAGGAGATGGTTTGCCAGGCGAAAATCCACTAGGCCATGGAACCTTCCGGCTGAACTATTCGCTATGGCGGGTAAATCCCGAAAAACAGCTGGTATCACGAGGAGGTTGCTTGGCGAGCATTATGTCAGCTGCAGAGAAGTATAGCAGAAGACAGCTTTGTGAGCTCATGGTTAATTGGTTTCTAGGAAGTTCCTTTCCTTTTCAGGGCTTTCTCCGTCCGATTTAGAAACCGCGAGGTCTGCACCGGAAAGGAGGATGCTCGCAGATATAAAACGGAGTTACAACAACGGGGAAAGTGTGACCGAGCTGGATAGTCAAGGAGCAGCTCCGGTGAGTGTTTTGACTCCTTATGAAAGTCATTTAGAGTCGCTTCAAAGCCTACCATGAAGCAGAAGGGTTTTCAGCCTTTTATCGCTGCAGCTCAGGCTTATCTACTGCAACTTTCTATCAGATTTGTTTTCCTGAGTAGTGCTAAATACAGTTTCCTAGGTAGAAGACTATTTGTGCAGTCGTATTTAAAGTTTCTAGGGCTTCTTGGTCAACGTCATCGATTTACGTGCGTTGCAAATACATCATGCTGGAAGTTGCTTTCGAATGCGCGGTGTGGCTCTGTTGTTCTCTTAGCCGTTCGGAAGCGAACGTATTGTCTGTATGGTGATAAATGGATCAAAAGTCTAAAGAAAACAATTAGGATCATTGGAAGGCCATTAGAAGAAAAGGCCACCAGCGTATAGCAATGTTGCTTTTATTCAATTCTCTAAGACACTTGCTCGATATGGAGTGTTTCAGAACTGTTCCCTTCCAACCCTGCACTGCCCAATTGACCGGTTTCTTCCTGCGTTGAGCTCATCAGCTGGTGAGAGCTTGAGATGAGAAGAGAACGCGACACAGTGGTTGACGGCTTTCCTCTTGATCACTAAGCCATAGCTTCATAAATAGCTCCTTAACCCAGCAGTTAAAAGTTTATTCTTGGGTCTTGGAGAGCCCGCTATTTGTCTAAATTTCGACACATAATTACGAGTGAAAACAATTTGCTTTCTCGATCGAGATTGTGTGTCTCAAACGAAACACACCGCAGACACTCTAAGACCCAACAATATGCCTACTCGGTACCTCAAAATGACAAACCATACAAAGCATTTAAAGACCTACAAGATTTGATTCAATCGGGAATACTAGGAATAGGCTTGGATTTCAGGTTGTGATTTCTGTGTTCATGTACAACAGTGTGCCATTCATATCTACCTGTAATACCCTGGATAAATCGTTAGTATTGAATTGCAAGTGTGCACCCTTAGCAAGAAATCAAATGGGTTTAATTGCTGCACAAGAATGGATTAGCAAAGATGGATACGTTTTACTTAGATGTACTGCGTTCGTTAGCGACTGATCACATGCACTTGTTGAAATGTTACAGAAGACGCAACATGAAAAGTTTACTGAAAGATATTACAAAGAGTAAAATATCTGCTTGACCTAGGTTCATGTCTCACGGGTGAATTAGTGACCACCAGTGTGACGCATTACTAATCTCGAACTGATCACTGTCAAGTAACCCAGTCTGTTTTACAGTGGTGTATGCCGTCTTCATTTAAAAACAGGACACATTTATGCAGTTCGTAAAGTGGCTATAAATAAATAAATAAACAAAATATATTCACACATTCAGTAAAGCTGGAATACGCCTGCAGACGAACCATGAATAAAACCGTCCGAGTGTACACCAACATTTGTAAGCGACTCAGAAGAGGTGATCGGTTTTTATGCGTTGTAATGAGTAATAAAAATCTGGTGCCGTCCGTCGATAATACGAGCAAAAAATCGAACTACTCATTTGTTTCGACAGATTCATGTAGCTGCTGCGTGTGGATTCTGTGAAGTGACAACCATGTTGCTGCGAATGGGAGTTGACCCGAACTCACTAGACGCGGATTCCTGGACACCAGCACATGTCGCCGTATGCTGGGGACAAGTAAGTTCCTCCTGTGATCAGCTGTAATTGGGGTTGCGAGGCCTAGTGGATGTTCAAGTCAAAATGTACCGACAAATTCATAGAATGTGGTTCGAATAAGCAAAATATTGAAACATACCTCACAGCTTTTAAACGGGAGAGTACTAGTTATCCAACTGTCTGAAAATCAATCATTAGTCCCCGTAGAATGCGCAAATTGCACAATAATTCAGAACGGACATAAAAGCAAATGCTTGACAAGTACCGTAACCTTGTTAAGTTGAACAGTACAGGATAAAAACACAGTGTCGATGAAAGAGAGCGTGACATACTTGACTCACCAAAAGGTCTACAGTAACACAGGTTTGTTCGGCACAAACGCGATCATCTGATCATCCTGGACTGTATCACCTAATGTGAATGTCTCAGAATATTTTCAAGACGATCTTTTGTATGCTGAAAATATAGGAATATCAATTACACGCGTTTGGAGGGAATTCTATGTTATGAAATTCGGAGAGAGAAACAATTTCATGCGTATACAAGTCAGCTTTACTCGTGGCCAACTTAAAATGTTGATCCCTCAGAGAGGTGTTTTAACTGAGTTGCAAAAGAATGCGACAAGTGTGATTGGGGTGTTTTAGTATCCGATACATCATCATGGAATCGCCTCGTAGAAACCGATAACGTCCGCCTTGCAATTTTAGAGTTTACAACCTCAGTGGGTGGGGAAGAAGGGACAAACCGTTGACATTCTCCGTCTCCCCACCTTGTGCCTATCGAGAGCGGTGAAGTGATATTTCTGGCAGTTGCCACGCCTGGATAATGTTCTCCGCGTGCGGCCACATGTACGCGCCAAGCATTTAAGAAACTCTGATGGGTCCAACTGCCCGTACGCCTTACGTAGAAGGCCGAAGTGCTGACTTGTTTTGATGCCTTGGCGGCCTGCTCCAAACAACCACGGTCATCTTACACGGTTTTCATTCCAAGCACTTCGCCTTATCATGGGCTTTTAGGTCACATTGAAGTTTACTCGGTAAACCAATGCAATTAAAACCAGTTCCACGGCGTATTCATTTGAAAATTCACAGACCAGCTGAGCCCGATTGTCATCCTCATAACATTCCTTAGTCCAGGGATTTCCTGTTAGTGCGACTGCAAACAACCACAGGACGATTGCGCCTACACAGGAACCATGAGTGGCTTATGCAACATCGCCCACACCCACTTCATATCGTGTCAGCTAGAGGGAGGTGTGTGGATGGGAGACACGGCTGATTCAGAGAAGACCCATGCACGTACTGCGTGCGCAACATTCGTATGGTTAAGGCGTAAATATGAGGAGCAGCCGTACACACAGGGCTGTGGCTGAACGGTGGATAGTTCCGTATTGCACTGAACCAACTTTGGGTACTAGGGCATCAGGAAGTTTGTGTACGCCATCTCTCCTGGAAACTGTTACCAGGCTTCTGCAGCCAGCTATTTGCTGGCGCTCAGTCAGAACTGTAATTTGTGAGGCCACTATCTCAAGCTGACAGAGCGGCATAGTCGTTGGGAATGCCGTCGGAATTCCTTTTCTGTACGCGTTTGCCGAACGTGGAATCCCCTACCGGAATCTGTCATCTGTGCTCCCACGCTGGCAGAGTCCTAAACCCTGAACCATCTTACATGGATAAACACAAGTGTCTGTGAGTGACTTCATTGACAGACAAATCACAGATTTCGTTGCACGTTTTTCACCTCCTGCATGTGTACACCAGAAGGAGACACGATTTTTACCAACATTCTATTTGGCCTCATTTCTCATGGATTTACCTCGGATTTACAGTCTATACTACATGTACTTCAGTGAGTTCATCGGTGTAAACCCAATTTTGCTAACTATTTGTCTATATTTTGATGTTTCACCATAACCATCCTACGGGAGCTGTTAAGCAATAGTTATGTTACCCGTATAAAACCGTTGTTCCACTACTCTAATTGGGGCGGTAGTAATACTAAATGGATAAGCATCTAGTTACAATTCGTATCAAGCGCAATCAATCTAGTGATCTTAAGCCAGAAATGCACAAACAACATATGCATATTTTAACGACCTTGCGACTATGCAGCACGGTACCACATCTCTGTGTTACTGGCTTGAGTTAGCAAATGAAACCGGAGGCAGCGTGCTTAAAATCCACTGTTGCTTACTCATCCAAAATACTCATCGCTACTTCGATACCGGCCTCTCGTGGTCATGTTGATGACTGATCAGACTGATTCAGCTATGGCAGACGACCACATGTGCTGCAGCATGCCGAGAAGTTGGGCTCTGTCGGTGCCTGTCGCTTGAGCAGTCGGCATATCTTATTCGGTTGTAGCAGTCCTTTCTAGTGGACGGGATTTGTGATGTAGTCACGCCACTGGTAGGGATCCACTGTCATTACTTCACAACGTCTAAATTCAACGTTAGTCCCTTATAAGCCCAGGTTGCTCATACCTTGTTACCGTAGCTTTGGTCACCTCATATTATGTTTCTCTGCACGCTGTACAGTAGGTGCCTCAATATTCTACTCGCATGTACACGACGAATATGTCCGAGCTACCATAAGCGCTGCGGGCAACAAAATGCTGACTGATTCATACATACCGCTACGACGGATCACTTTCGTCGCAGGATTTGTCGCACACAAATGTGTGTCAAAAGCAGTCAACCGACGAAGGGTCGGTGATACTGTAGCGATTTGTCGCATTGCCAGTGTAGGTAATCAGATTTGTAGTTACAACTTTCAAAAGCAGGAGCAGCAAAGACAACATACGGTTGGCCGCTTCCGATTTCGGATTCGCTTGTCATTGTGGTCAGCCATAGGACGCCTGCGCATACAGAGGGACCATGCATGGCTTGCGCTGCACTACCCACAGCGTCGTCCACACACCACATATCCAGTGTAAACCCGAAGGAATAACACCGGGAGGCATGTGGATGGGAGCCACGTTTCATCAACGGAGCCGGCCCACACTCCTTCACAGGCAAACACAAGCACACTGGATTTGGGGAATCAAGCGCACACAAGACGATGGCTAGACCGTAGTCCGCTCCACACTGAGTGCATGGAACCACTCTTCGAGCCTAACACGGCCACAAGGACCGTGCACCCCGTCCCCTCCAGCAACGACCAAGTGTCTCCTGGAGGCAGTGTGGACGAGGCAGTGGGTAATAGACAGGTAGGCACCTTGTCAACATGCATATCAAGCGCAGCCACACCGGGGATGTCAAACAACAGCCAATCACTTGAAAGGACAAGATGGAATAAAACAAAAGTCAACATATAATGGCAAGTTTAACAACATGTAATTATCAATATTGGCATCAGCATCGTTCTGTAGGTTTGCTACAGAGGAGCAAAAGCTCAGTAACTGTGGTGCAATACAATGCAATTACATGTCCGTAAATAATAATGTGAATAATACTAATGTTTGTTCTCGATCTGCCACGAGACACTCCCAAGTAACTGGCAGCCTGACAAAAATAACATTACGCTGTGTGCAAGTAGTATAATAGTTGGGGTCACGGGTTATGCGGGATGGACAAGGAAGAGGAAACTCACAACAAAAATGCCATTTAGAGTATTGGTGGTTTTGTGAGTATGTAATTTTTGTAGAAAGTAGAAGCCATGATTAAACTGCACAATAATCTGCCTCGACGAGGAATCGAACTCCGAAGCGGTAATCCGTATGTCCGGGTTCGCTTCCCCGTCGAGACACATTATTGTGCGGTTTAATCATGGCTTCTACTTACTACAAAAGAATCCATTACAGTCGACTCTTAACCATGTCAAGTGGAGTCAGGAACTTGCCTTATGTACCTGGGACGTTCGAATATTCCCCTGCGACAGCACACACGCTCACAACAAGGTGCAAAAAAGGTAAAAATTACAAAACAGTTCCATTAAATAAAGGTCTGATAAAAGATAGGGAGGGCATCAGATTAAATTCGGCCTGTTAGTTCTTGAACGACAGAGTTGGGATCTTTTAATATAAAACATGATGGATAAGGGATGGTCGAGAAGCGGTAGGTTTGTGTGTACGCATATATGATATTGTGCTTGCTTAGTACACCAAGATAACGAACAAGGAAATAATGAGTTATGAAGGGGGTACTTTGTGTCAACAAATATCTTTAACACTAGATGTTTACAAGTACTGAAGAGTGTAAACAGTAGTATGCTGACAAAAGTAGGCATCGGGATTCAGCTACATCGGGAAATATGTCTTCATGATCTGAACATGGCCTTAAGGTGTTTAGGCAGAAGATCAGAAAAAACCACACGATAGCAGTACCCCCAGTGCGAAAGTACCTGGAGGTTGAAGAAAGCAAAGTACCAAACCACGGGGAACAGACGAACCTTGAACGACAGCCTTCTGACTTTAGCGAATGTTTCATATATATGAATGCTCCAGGAGAAATGGTAGCTTAGATTCATATCAACGGAAATCATTGATGTACTAAAGTCTTCTATGCGGCGACAAAGTACATCATACAACTTCAATCTATTACGAAACAGATTTACGGCCGGCTCGTAGTCTAAAGTTTCACAACCCTGCCTTGTAATCCGAGGGTGCGGGTTCGAGCTTGCGTAAGGGACTTGATGACCCTCGCACTATCCTCAGCACACAGGCGACTGTTGATGGTTGCGCGGCAGCGAAGCGTCGGTACTGGGTACGGGTGTACTCTTGATACCTACGCGCCTACGAGATTTGGACTATAAAGTAAGAGCGCTCATATTGGCTTTAGATTGACTGAACAAGTAGTGGTCCGGTAACTGACAACCAGGAAGATGTCATCTGCGTAAGTTAGTAGGGCGAATTCTTTAGGGTACAGTATTGAGTCGATTTAAGTAGAAAACAGAAGTGGCGACAAAACGGTCCCATGGAGGTTCCAGGAGTTGGTGCTTAAGAAAAAGAGCATTTGTCATCAAGTCGGGTAACCTTAGTGCGCCTAGCACTATAGCTGCACAGTATGTGAACCGTAGAAGGAGAACTACCGTTAATGAGTAGATCTCTTA